CTAATAGACCAGTTAAAGCCTGGTGGAAGATTGATATTGCCAGTTGGTCCTGCAGGTGGAAACCAAATGTTGGAGCAGTATGATAAGCTACAAGACGGCAGCGTCAAAATGAAGCCTCTGATGGGGGTGATATACGTGCCTTTAACAGATAAAGAAAAGCATTGGTCCAGGTGGAAGTGATTTTCTCTTCTCCTCTTTCTTCCACACATGCAAGGGACGAGCTGTAAAAGCAACATCAGCTTGACCAGTCTATAATATTGCAGTGGATTGCTCATCTCGGTCCCTAAAGCTCTTTGAAAACCAACAGCATCACAGCTTGTTTTGGACTTTGTTACACTATTATTTTCAGCATGAAAATGTGTGGTTTTGTAGGGTTTTTTAATTCTTTAGAGAGGCACAGAATCAAATTGGTGGAGGAAGGATATAAAGTATAAATTTCTATATGATTACTTTAACATGCCCACATTTTACTTTAAAATATTAAAAGAAGGGGTTCTGCAAAATGGAAACGTTAATTTGTGAATTGATTTTGAGGAGTGCTTTTTCTTTTCTTGGATATTTAATTCTTCCAGTATAAATTTACCGGGTCTTTTGTGCATCAGATAATACCACCATTTACAAGTTAAGACTCTTGGTATTTGGTTATCTATTAGATACTACTAAGAATATAGAGATGAGCTTTCTTTTTAAAGCTTTTGATGTGATGTCATAGAATAGCATGTTGTAGATACAATCAGCTGCTTTGTTACCTTAAAAGTAGGTATTTGTAAATATTGAAACTTAAGATGGCAGTTGATGTCCAATAAACACTCAGCTGTTCATATTGGACATAACTGACATAGTTCTTCCTTTCTCTAAAAATGATAGGAGACTTGTAGCTCACTATTATTTTTTGTTTCTAGTTTGCTGCTGATAATGTATATGAATCTAACATGCCGTATAAGCTGTGTGGTAGTTACTGCACAGTTTATGCAGTACTGCTTTGCCAAATAAAGTTAAAAGAAAAAAAAAAAAAGAAAAGAAAAAAAAATGCAAGTTCCATTTGGGCAAATTAGTGATGAGTGAGAACCTGTCTTAAATTCAAAAAAGATCTGAGGATATAGCTCAGTGGAAAATTCCTGATTTGAATCCCTGGTGTGCTGAAAAAAAACCAAATCAAGAAATAATCAACTAAGGAACAGCACAGACTAGAACAATTTACAGAATGTTACGAAGATTTTCCCACAGACATGAACTCCTTTCTCTCTGTTGTTGACTACATACTGCAGTGAATTCTTTGCTTTTTCAGCTCCTCCTTCCCTTCAGCCTGAATTCTACTTCCTCTCCCTAAAGCTCATCTGACCAGTTGATACGCTTCAGCCAACAGAATGCAGCACAGTCCAGGCTACCTCATTTCATTGCTTGGAATGCTTCCTTTTGGAACCCAGTTGCCATGGCCGCCAAGGATGAGAGGCCAAGTTGAAGAGCCAAGATACGAGGGGGTGGTGCGACAGTACCAGCTGTGGGTCACATGAGTGAGCTGTTATTGTAGGACCCAGTGAAGTCACATCTACAGCTGGCTATGGCCCAGCCAACACCATCTGGGGGCGCCACCACCCCACTGAGCCTGTCACTCCACAGATTCACGAAATAGAGTACCATTGCAAAGTACTAAATTTTGTTATATAATAATATATAACAGGCATGCACACACTCCACTGTGTTAGGTGGGGGATTAAATACATTTTTTTTTTTTTGCCTGACTTCAACTTAAATATTTGTCTTTTTAAAATAATAGTTCTCAAAGTTGTTAAATCATCAGTAAATGCCAAATTCTCTCCTGAATCAGGTCTGTGTTGTCTCATCTCTAAATTCATGCTGCTATGACTAGTTACAGACAGAGTCATTATGTAAATATTTGTTGGGGAAATGATGCTTTTCAGGAGATATACATTTATAATGTCAAAAGTAAGTGAGGTAGAAAAAATGAAGACTTTTTCATAAGGAGAGTAAAATTTTCAAGAAGAAGCATCCTTTTGAAAATTATTTTGAGCATTTTAAGGAAAATGACATTTACAGATAGAATGTTTTCCTTCAATAAGAAAAGGGGGAAAGGGAAAGACAAAGAATACCATTTTTGGTAATCTCTCATTTCATTAGTCATACTGAATTGACCTTTGGTTTCTGCCTCCTTTTTGAAACATATTTCCTGTTCTATTTGGTAGCATTTTGCAAGCTTATGAGTTCAGAACCAAATCTGAATTTCACATGTCCTTACTACATTGTAAAGAACAAACCTTCAAACTATAGACTTCTAGATCCCTCTCATTTGATTACTTTGTGAATTTAATAGTCTATGCCATTTAAAGTTCCCTTTCTAATTTGGAAAGGTGATAGGGAATCTATGCATGACTGAAAATCTAATATAAAAATTAATCTTGATTGCAGTTTATGATTCTCCTATACTACTGAGAGTATATAATTATGAAGAATAGCTCAACAAATCATTCTATTTTGTGGGGTTAAGAAGTGATGAGGCTTAAAAATAGAGTTTTCATCTAAGAATATTTTCTTACTTTAAAATATTGTCTTTCTCAAGAAATTATTTACTACCATGAAGTTATGTAACAGACGTTTGACAATCTCAACTATTATTTGAGCTACACAAAAATACCTATGTGTGTAACAAAAATACAGCATTCTATGGTTGTAGTGGAATTAAACATTTATTAGATAGATTATTGATTTTATTTTGATTGTGATCCACAAAAAATTCAAATGTAGGTAAATTGTTAATATTCTCACAATAATAGTATAATTATGGCAAGTCTATATCTTTACCCAGGAATCTTCTGGAAGCAGTGCCTACCTCCAAGATATTAGACCTCAGACTTATTTAATGTAAAAAACTTTTCCCAGTCCTCACAACAGCCAATAACTTTACCTTCTTCATTTGCAGTTATTAGGTATTCTTTTTAACTCAGCAAGAACAAACCTTTAATTTATCATGGGTAGTGTAGTGTCAAAAGCCCTGTATGTCCTAATTCTATATATTTATGGTAGATCTAATAATTCATACAAATATTACCTTACTTGATGTTCAGAGCAACTCCATGGAACTGATAGAGACTGTGTATGAAATATAAGTCCGAAACAACAGACTCTGAAAGGCCTGTCCCAGTCAACAGTGAAAGGCCCAATGGGACTCAATCCAGAACTTTCAATACTTAGTCTAATATGCCTGTGGCTGTGTCACTCTGCTTCTGACCATGCAATATACTTTTAACTCGAAAGATTGATACCAAGACCTACAACTGCTATCTTTAAAAGGAAAGTATAAATTTATTTTATATTGTATTAGAAATTACAGAATATGGGAGCGGACAGGGACATAAAGTATGGTTATTGTCAAAAAGATCCTTTACAAGAAAATGTCTCAGAAGAACATACATTTCTTTCCCATGTGTCTTCTGACTCATGTCTGCTTAGTTTACACAGAAAAATAAAATATTTTATGACCATCTCCCCTGTAGAAGCAATATTGCTACAGAAGAGCAAAAAGACATGTTATTCTGCCTCATGAATCAAAAATATTGCTGACTAAACTCTGATTTCAGAGTCACCATCTTTGGCAATGGTACATAAGGCAAAAGGAACATTTCTTTGTTGAAAGACAAAACAATGTTTTCAACGCTATGTTCTAATATATAAGCTAAATAAAAATGTTGGGTAAAATGTTAATCTTGAGCCCTGTTTCAGAAAAGCTTGCATTTATTCTGATAGAGAAAAAAGTACTTGACATCTCAAGTCCTGGATGTGGGAATGTACTTGGATATAAAAGTGGCAGTCACAGATCTCATTATCAAGAGACAGAGATTTAATTCAATAAATCCTTGACTTTTATGTGGCAGAAATATGTAGCTAAGTTCCAAGAAATTGAGAAACATTGTACCGGCCCAATCATGCCTAGCAGTGATTTGAATTAGGTAAAGCAGAATTCTTCAAGCCATAGAAAGTACATCTCCATAACTATCAGGGGCCTCTGAATGATTACATCAGCTCTTATCTTTATAATGGCAAAACTCAGCAGCTGAAGCCTGAAAACTCAATCGCTGCAGGATGAAAGGGCTCAGCTCTCAACTGCAGGACACAATATGTCTATCTCCAGGGACAACAGCTCATATCCGCAACCCTTGAGGCCTCAGTTCTGCAACTGGGTAAAATGTAGAGGCTGTCCAGCATCTACTATTTCTCTGAATTTTCAAATATTCCTTTTCTACATGATGAAGCATACTTTTATTTCTCTTCTGCATTATCTTATTACTAGTATTTTTAATTTGGTAGCCAAGAAATTTTTCTGGAATGGCCTATCTTGTAAAATGGTACAAATAAATTTTCAGGCCAGGGGTAAACAATGACAGACAGACAAGACAGGCAGAGAGACACATATAGACCTGGGATAGGGGCCAGGGAGATGGCTCAGTAGAATAAGCGCTTCCCTGGCAAGTGCAAAGGCCTGAGTTCAATCCTCAGTTCTAGAAAAAAAAAAAAAAAAAAATAGACCCAGGATAAAAGTCTAGCTCAGTAGCACATAGCATGTTTAACATTTAGGAGAGGGCCAGCCAATAGCTCAGCAGATTAAAGGCCTGCAAGCAGGCGCAGGGGCCTGGGGTTTGATCCCCGGGCTTGCCATGCCAGCCCCATCCCCGGGGCGCGCTGAGACAGCAATTGAGACTGGGCATGGTGGTGTGCGCCCGTAATCCCAGCTCATGGGAGGCTGTAAATAGGCAGATCACTAGGAGTCTGATCTAGTAGTGAGACCCTGAACACCCTGTAGACCCATCCTTAAAAAATACAAAATAAATGTAGGAGGCCCCAGGTTTGATTCCTATACCCAACAACAAGAAAAAACAGAGGAAAAAAAGAACAAACAGTAACAAAAAAAGGGTCACTCTTTCCTTAAGACCAGGCATATTAAAATCACATGACTTTATGCTTTAAGATAAGGAAATAATCATAGTTCTATTTTGCGTGTAGTTCATATTCCAACACTATGAGATCTTTACTGCAGGCAATGAATTTGGACAGTATCTTTTAGGGGCTATATTTTTTATTTAATCCATCTTCCACTGTAATGCTTAAAGCTTATTATATTCAATCCAATAATTGTAATTTTAATTATATAGTTGGTTATCATCCTAGTTATTAAGTACATTGACCACTGCCTTACTCTGTAGTCACTATTTCTTTTTTTAATCTCAATCTTAGCAATGTGATTTGGATACTTGCATTGCATTTGTCCTCAGAGGAAGTCAACTTCGTCAAACAAAATGATACCAAAATGCTAGCTAAATGTGATCTGATCCTACGCTCAAGGTTAAATTAACCTTCCTTTATATTCCTGGTTCCAGTAATGG